TAAATTACCATATTATCTACTTATCCCCTTAATTAACCTTACTCAATAATTATATATTAAATTTAATTATCCTATCTACATTACTATATTTCGTTATTTTCCTCCTATTTTGCATTTTATGTGGTTTTAAATTGTGAACTTATTGCACATGTGTCATCCGACAATATTCCTCACTATGGTTATATGGCATACATGCTTAATTTGTTTTTAAAATTTGGACTTGTTGGATACTCTTTTTGCATTTTATCATTCTTATATTATCTTATCCATGCATTTTATCATTCTTTTACCTAAATCTGCCTAGACCCCGCCTAGCCGCCTAGGCGCTAGGCGCCAGCCCGCCGCCCGACTAGTGCGCTTTTTAGAAGCTTGCTTATTACAAGTTTGGCACTCACTTAGAAAGAGGTATAAAGGAAACTTTATAACCTTAACCACATTAGGGTTTCTTTGAGGAAAGATTAGAGAACACAAGCTCTAGCTTTTTCTCCACGAACAAAATAGAAATGCAAAAGACTCTTTGATAGAGGAAAAGAGAGACCACAACAATGAAGGCTCACTTTGACAGAGCGAAACAACGACCACAATAGTAGATGAATATGGTTAGAAGATACGAGAATTTGATAGAGGAAAATAGGGAAGAGAGGACATAAGGTTTTTTCTTAGTTTTCTCTCTAGCGTTGTCCTGGGCTTAGCATTTATCTTTGTTGTAAAAATACAGAAAAAAATATGTAGGAGAAAGGAGCAATGAAGAACAGTGCAAGAAGTGAAAGTAAAGAGGAGTGTAGAATCATTTTTATCTTCTCTCCTACCACATCCCTTCATCCTTCTCGATTCCTCTTTTTTCAATTCAGGAGTTGTGAAACTTGCGATTGATCAAATATAAGGCCAAATCAGGATTGGTGGGGTCGATTCTTGGTTACTAATATTCCTTGCAAAATGTCTTGGGAATGGTCTAAAAAGTCCTCTTCGCAGTAAGATTTCATGATTAAGAACACAAAAGGTCATTTTCAACCGTACCACTTTGTGCAGAGTGCTTGACATCTCTCTGGGTTTGCACTGAGTTTTCTTTATGTATTGAAAGAGTATTATGTTCATTACCATTCACTTCTGGTATCTGGAAATCATCTTCGTTCAAGTCTTATTAGGTATACAAATCAGTCTTATGCTAGTTATATGATTCTGATTTTGTTCATACATGTACAACTCCTTATTGTACTGTTCCTTAATTCGATATTACATACATCTGCTGCTATCTAAGATCTAGAAGAAGCATAAATAAATTACAATTTAGGCTCATTTACTGTATATAGCTTACAATTTACGCTCATCTACTATATGACCATATCAAATTATGAAGAAAGTCGATCGAGGATCAATAGACCACATGCAATATATACGAAAGCAAAATTATTTTATCAAGTTATGTTACAAGATACGCAACCATGCATTACTAAATTTTGATCGACAACCTTTTATCAGTTGGGATTCTAGCAACATCTTACTTGTATATGTTCGGGCAAAGATTTCTTGGGAGAAGGATCCTCGGACCTCAACACAGCTCCCTAAGGGATTGGCACTTTGGATGTGTAGTCGGGCTCTTACTTGTTGATGTGCTACAAGAAGAGGACAAAGTTAGTTCTGAAAGGTGCCTTTGTGGGGCCTTAGGTATAGGCCGTAAGGCTCGCAATCAACACTAATTAAGTGCTAGGCGTGCCACTGCTGTCTCAGTATAGCAGATGTAGAACAAGAATGTTTTTAGTCGATTACTTGCGCCTTAAGTTAGTTGGACTCCTTGTTATCAAAGGATTGTCATGGATGGGTTAAGTCTACATTAAATTCTTTTTCTTGCCTTGTAAACAAGGACTTTTAGTTCATAGTCTTGTATGTTCAAATGAAGGGAGTCCAGGCCCCTTTAAGCCGTTTGTTTGGTTCTTGATTGATTTTAATGATGACATATCCGTTAAACTAACCAGATCTAGATGCAAATGGAACTCTTAAAATAGGAAAACTGATGAAAATAACTTGAATACATACTGGAGAATGCATTAAGTAATAGATCAATAACTTTAGAAAACAAACAAAAAGCGTCGGGCAAGATTTCACCTTGTCTGTCAAGATTGAACCTCTTACAATCACTTCTCTTTGAATTAATAGGGGTTTAAATGCTAAAAAGGGATGGATGGTAAACAAGTTTACACAAGGGAATCACCACTAAGGGAGATAGCAAAGCTTTAAACTGGGTAAGATATAGCTTGTCCCTAAAAAGGACTGAATCTATGTTGATTTCAGCTTTTGAATGCAAATCTAGCTTAAGAGCAGAGTTTGTATGTTTGTTTGTTTGATTGGTTGAGTGTCCTTGTCTCTAGGGCCTCTTCCTCCTTTTATAGGCCAATTAGCCTGACTGCTGTGACTTTGCTCTGGCCCAAAAGCATCTGAAGGGTAATGAGTTGATAGGATCAAATTTATGCGACTTTGTAATCTTATTTCTTTGCATTTACTTCGTTACTTCCATTTATTTTGGTAGTTTATGTTATTTTCGTATTATTATAGGTCCAGTTGGTAAAGATGACAATAAATAGTCAAATGGAGCAATTTGGAGCAGTTTTGGACTTGGATTGGATAGCAGGCTTGGAGAGCTTATGGGCTGGACATTTTTGGTATTTAAATGGTGTTAGACATATGCTAAACTCTGGAGAAATTGAAGATGAGGCTTGGAAGACACGGAATTACACAAGAAAAAGGAATCCTAGTTGGAGAGGAACCTTATCTTACCTTAACTTATCTAGATTCATCTTATCTTGTCTTATCTTATCCAAACCTTATCTTACTTTATCTTATCTCCAATTACAAAGAGGAATCCTTATCACATTCCAACAATTCCTATCTGATTTTTGGGAGTCCTAAATTAATTCAAATGACCTAATCCTTTTCTTCCTGTGATTCAACTGTGCCTTTACCCTATATATACATTATTGCCACAAATTAGAGGGGGGGAAAAAAAGAGTGCCACATCCTGCATCCAGAGAAGAGTGGCGAATCTGCCATTCAACTATTGGAGTTTTTCAGAGTTCTTTCTCTCCTTGTTTAGTTTTAATGTTTATTTTAAATTGTTTTTCAGTTATGATGAGCATGCGTAACTAAATTTCTTTTTAGCTAGAGGTGAATTCGAAGCCATGAACATATGTTTTATATAAGTTGATTATATCCAGTTATTGTTACATAAAACATGAATGCAATTTACTTATTTGCTTTATAGAAAACTTATTCTTGTATGTTTATTAAGGATACATACTTAGTTTGCATGCAGGGATTTGATGCTAGAATATAAGGGAATTTCACCTAATTGATATGAACTTATATTTGCAAGTAGTATAAGTCACTAGTCATGATTGAGTTAAGTAAATTCTTGGCAGGAGTATCATGCTTTCCATAGTTACGAATGCTTCGTCAATGCTTATGATTTTCACAGAACTTAATGATTTTCGAGATGTATCTCTATCATGCTTTTCATAGTTAGGGAACTTGAGAAGAATAATTTGATTACGTCGCTGAGTCCAATTCAATGAACGTAGAAAAATCTAAAAGTTAATTTGGGGCATTGTCATTCATGGTTTATAGAAATAACTGGAAATCAATTTGTATGCATATGCTTCATGTGTGGAGAACAATCCTCTAGCTAGCCTCTCACCTATATCTCATACAAGACCTAATTCATTTGCTGCAATTTACTTTATTTTTGTTAAAATTCATCCAAAAATCCCCCTCAGTTCTTATTTTGTGTTAGTCTAGCTTAATTTTTAGTTTTTAGGTTTAATTTGTGTTGATTAGCATCCATCCTAATCCCTGGCCTAGAACGATCCCTACTTGCTCATACTACAATCATCGAAAGTATAAGGTTTAATTTGTGTACTAGTATTTAACACATCATGAGTCATCAGCCTTTTTACTTGTAATACCACTAGAAAGTGTTCTTTGGTTGGTAGTAGGTTAGCCTTCATCACTTGTCTCGTCAATGGTAAAAACATGTCTTGTATCTTGGCTGAGAAGGCTTCACCTTGCCTCTGGGCTTGGTGCTAGGCTTCGGGCAAGTCCCCTTTTAGTTGGCAACCTTGGGCATTCCTTCATCTAGGTCCAATATTCAAATATTAACCCAAACAGTATGTATGATCGGAATGGCACTGATTAATATTGTAGTAACTAATTAACTAAAAACAAATTAGGATTAACTAATAAATGTTGGGGTGTGATAATCACACACCCCTTTTTACTTCTCACACACCCGTTTAATTTTCGACCGTCAGATCAGATGAATTGAAGAATATCAAAGGACATATGTGTGGATAGCACACCCCTAAATGTTTAACAAGCAAAAAATGGTGAAGAAAAACACTATTTATATATAGAAAAATTATTGTCTTCGTTATGGAAGGAAAAAACCCAACCTCTACCTCTACAAAAAGGAATTAACAGAAACTCAATCTACTCAACTAATTACTTAACAACTAAGATATTATGCTTGCTAGCTAAAATCCTGGTCCGCCTGTGCGTTTGGGTTTTTCCTATTATTTAATTTAGAAAGTTGCCCTCACCTTCTTCTCATATGATCTTGCATTCACTGGTTTCGTGGTCAAATAAATATCAGCAAGAGACCGGTACCTCCGCTTCTTAGGCCGATCGATATCTTCTTTCCCAAAAATCTCTTCAATCTTTTCCCAAGTGATCACTTTGATTTGATCAACCACCTCATCGCCATCCTGCTGAAATTTCTTGTTCTTGTTGTGGCCGCTGCTTCTGCTATTGGTGTTATCTTCATCACTAAGCTGCATCAGCTGCTGTACAGCGGCCAAGTCTGACTCCGTCAACGCCTTCTCAGGATGATCAGTATTTCGCAAAGATTGTGATTTCACCATTGAACAAATTGATGCAAGGAAAAAGAAACACAAGGATCGATGAGAGAGAGAGAGAGGGATATATAATGTGTAGAGCTTTATAGCTAAGCTAATCAAAACCCTGTTGGCTGTTGCGTTTTCTTTTGTTTTTGATGTCCTCCTACTATGGTTTTTTGGTATTGGGATGTTTTGGGTTTTTTCTTATTGTTGATTATATGGGTTTGGCGTAGAGCGCGTTTTGTGGGTACGTGTTGTATGAGGAAAGGAAAAAGAGAGAGAGATACAAAGAAACTGCTGGGTTACTACTATGAAGATGGGTGGAAAATGTCATTCGCCGACGTGGATTTATTTATTTATTTACTTTACTTTACTTTACATTTGTAGTGCGTAACTAAAAATAAACAAAACAATGGTGGAAAAAAAAATTAATTCTTGCATAATGACGTGGGTTCAAACCTTGTCGTTAGCTAATCTAACTTCTAATCTAACAAAATCTATCGTTTAACCAAAAAACAAAAATGCTATACTTATCCTATTTTGTATATCATATTTGTACAATTTTTATAATATAGGTGAAGCTAAATTTGAAGACTCGTCTAACTCTTAATCTAACAAAATCTATCGTTTAACCAAAAAAACAAAAATGCTATACTTATCCTATTTTGTATATCATATTTGTACAATTTTTATAATATAGGTGAAGCTAAATTTGAAGACTCATTTGACAACTCAGTTGAAGTACAAAAAATCCTACATGGCACTTTAAATTTAATTTTGTAGACTCTCTTCAATATGTCATGGTATCTGTAACATTACTCAAAAATAACTATTTGACAAAGCATGTCATCTATGGGTTTTCCAATGTGACAAGCCATCACACCCTAGGAGGAACTATTTTATATCAACAAGACAACAACCTATGCTATTAAGTAATAACAGTAGAGTTGCATTTGGTTTGAACTTTAAAGAAAATGCCTATGGAAATTAGAAATTGTTATTTGTCACAAATAGAAGTGCATGCTTGATAAATGATTTCCATAGTCATGGGAAAACAGGAAGAATAAGTGGAATCCTCAATTAATTCACTTTTGGTTTCATTTTATTTCCCTACCAGAAAATAAGACAAGCAGTATTAAGTGTTTTTTTATCATTAATTTACAGTCATTAACAATCAAAATATTAATTTAGTCCAAAAAAAATGAGAACGGTTTAATTTTCGAGCGTTACCAAACATATATCCCTTAGGTAAAGGTATATAACAACAACAACAACCAAGCCTTATTCTACTAAGTAGAGTCAACTATATGAATCCTAGAACACTATTGCGGACAATTTTGCGCCAAATCTTCCGTTAACTCCAAGTATTCCACTCTTTTTACCCTGAGCCTCCATCCTATAGCTGCATCTTCTAATCGGCATCCTAAGTCTTCAATTCGCATGTCTATATCACCTTAACCTATTTTCTCTCTTCTTATCTTCAATTGCAGCCATTCGTACTTTACCCCGGATATCCTCGTTCTTAATTATCATTTCTTGTGTGCCCACATATCTAATGAATCATTTTCATCTCTGCTACACTCATTTTTTGCACGTGTTGTTTTTTGACTGCCCAACATTCCGTACCATATAACATCACTAGCCTTATTGACGTCCTATAAAATTTTCCGTTGAGCTTTAGTGTCATACGACAATCGCACAATACAGCTGATGCATTTTTCCCCTTCATCCATCTAGCTTGTATTCTATGGTTTAGATCTCCATCTAATTCTCCATTATTTTGCAAGATAGTCCAAGATTACGAAAATGTTCACTCTTTAGTACTTCCTGATCTCTAATCCTCACCTATCTTAGGATCCATTATCATACACTTTTTTCCAAATCTATAAAGATCATGTGCAAATCCTTTTTCATATGTCTATATCGTTCCCTCGAACTTCGTAAGAGATAGATTGCCTCCGTTATCAAGCGCCTTGGCATGAACTTGAATTGATTGTCTGAGACTCATGCCTCTTGTCTCAATCTATACTCAATTACCCTCTCCTAGAGCTTCATTGTATGACTCGTTAACTTAATATCCCAATAGTTCTTGCAATTTTGCATGTCGCCCTTTTTCATGTAGATAGGCACCAAAATGCTTTCTTGCCACTTATTGGGCAAATTTTTTGTTTTCAAAATCGTATTGAAAAGGTTTGTGAACCATACAATACCCGTCTCTCCCAAAACCTTCCACACTTCAATCGGTATATCGTTGGCATCCACTTTTTTATTTTTTTTATATCGCTGGGACTCACATTTCATGTCCAAACGCATCCTTAGATTATAACACCACATGTATCACTCTCACAGTAAGGAGTTTAATGCGTGGCTAAAGGTAAGTTGGATTTCTTTTCATCAATGCGTTGACTTATTCTATTGACCAATCATGGGTCATGACTCATGAATCCAACAGCTCAAACCAAGAGCTACTGTCATAAATAATAGTTAAAAGTTAGAAAATTTGTGGCAGGGGCGTTTTGGTTTTCAATAGGAGATTGGAGAGGGTTTGTGGTGGTCGTCGTCCAACATTAACATATGAACGCTTTCACTTCCCATGAGCCATTTTCCAGATGAAGTCAAACCCCACTAAATTGATTCAGGTCTTTAATCACTTTATGGCACCTTGATATGCATATAAAAATCAGTTGAACACTAACTGTTATTTGACGAAATTGCCTTTCAGCTGCTGCTCTTTCCAACTTTTTTTTAGAGCTTAAATGTCAAAATGGTCTTTGTGTTTTACATGTTTGGTCAATTTAGTCTCCGTATTTTCAATTTGACTGATTTAGTTCTTATGTTTTGGACTATTAGCCCATTTGGTCAATTCCGTTTACGGTTAAATATTTAACTTCAAATTATTAAAAACCATTCAAAACCGTGTGGATAGTGTTTTTAGAGGGGGGTTGAAAATAAATAATAAGTCATGATAATTAATTTACAAATGCAAAAATATGACATCGATGGTAACAAAAATCCGTCGTTTTTAGTTTTGATGAATTTGTACCTAAAAAATAAATAAACACGGCCAAAGCAACACGTGCCCACGAAGTGGAGGGGCTTGGCCAATGAATCTTAGATGCCTAAGTCAGTTTCCCTTAAAAAATAGAGAGTTTTGGGTTTAATTGCATAGCAAAAGCTTACTAGAAATTAGTGGAGATGAGGTATTTATAAAGTTAGGGCTAGCCACGTGTGTAGGTTTTTGCCCTGACATGAACCGGCATCTGATTAGCCAAGATGTGTTATCCATAAGATCGATAAGGAAAGAATTGTCACATCCCGGCCCGGGCCCCCATCACATCCCGGGTTCGACTCCACTGTAGCACAATATTGTCCGTTTTGGGCTCCGACCACGCCCCCACGGTTTTGTTTCTGGGAACTCACACGAAAACTTCCCAGTGGGTCACCCATCATGGAAATGCTCTTGTCCCTTTCTCGCTTAACTTCGGAGTTCCTATGAAACCCAAAGCCAGTGAGCTTCCAAAAAGCCTCGTGCTAGGTAGAGATGGGAATATACATATAAGGCTTACAGGATCCACTCCCCTGGGCAATATGGGATGTAACAATCCACCCCCGTTAGGGGCCCGACGTCCTCGTCGGCACACTTCTGGCCAGGGATTGGCTCTGATACCAAATTGTCACATCCCGACCCGGGCTCCCACCACATCCCGGGCTCGACTCCACCCCAGCACGATATTGTACGCTTTGGGTCCCGACCACACCCTCACGGTTTTGTTTCTAGGAACTCACACGAGAACTTCCCAGTGGGTCACCCATCATGGGAATGCTCTCACCCCTTTCTCGCTTAACTTCGGAGTTCCTACGAAACCCAAAGCCAGTGAGCTTCCAAAAGGCCTCGTGCTAGGTAGAGATAGGAATATACATATAAGACTTACAGGATCCACTCCCCTGGGCGATGTGGGATGTAACAAGAATTATCCCAATATATTATTTAATAATATCTTGAAATTATTTTGTGGAATCCCTAATTGGATTTGATTGCAATTCCTTGCTTGATAGAGTTGGTCTTAATTTGGGAAAGTATAAAGACAGGATTTAGCAATTATCCTATCTTTAATACCTTTGAATTTTCTCCTTGCCATGGGTAGGGGAGCTAGATGAGATTATAGTCAGATGCTCAAACCTCTAAGAATGTTGAATTGCTCGTGGATTAAATGTAGACCTCAACAATTTAATAAGGACATTCTTGTCTTTTGCTAGTAAACGTCCATGTGTCAACTCCAAGATTTTTCGCATCATTTTGTACTCTTCAACACCAATTTGTACAAGACCGAGAACGTGATATCTTCGATGTGGTGCGTTCAATATACCAAATCGGTATCATGAAAATGGTAATTGGCCAAGGGAGTGCAATCAAGTAATCTTGAAACATGTACAAGTGTATCAAGTAACATTTCAAACAAGTACCCGATGTGACATTTGTGAACTTATCCTATTTCATTTGGGAATCCAAGCTTTATGCTCATTTCGCAATGAGCATGGTACAAGGAGTTTGTGGCAACTTTTGGAATATTTTTTTGATTTTTCCATGATTTTATATTAAATTATATGACACTCGGCATCTTGTGATTTGTTGGGGATACAACTTTTCTAGACTTTTTTGGTATCAAAATGACGACCACCCTACAATGAGTTCGTACCAACTTCCGGACTATACTTTTTTTATTTTTCTTACATTTACGATGTTTAAAATTATATAATTTTTATTATCACTAGGGTTTAGGGTTCAATTCATAACGTGTCACAAAGGCTTCATCCAAAAAATACAAAAAATAACAGCGAGGGCAGTAACGGAATTTGGCAGCACCCAAGCTGTCATCCAAGGCATCATCCAAAAATGCAACATTCTAGCCTTGCTGTAGTAAATATGAACTGCTTTATTTAAGTGTTCATGATGTGATGGCAAATTGTTGAACCATGCCCAAACTGATGAAACTAAGTGAAAAACGCACAATAACTTTCAAATAATCGTATCATTAAATTACCATCAATGCTAACAAAGAGTATCATAAACTATCACAAGGCTTGCAAAGCTTGTCCATGACACACCCCGATCGAGATTAGGGCATGCTGGCCGTCACGTGGAAGTGACGTAACCATGTGCACAGTGCGGAAGCTAAGAAATAATAATAAAAGTACGAATAAAAACAAACC